ACGTCGACGACTGGTCTTGGGATCGACATCTGCCGAATTTCTTTAATCTTCGTTTCTTATTCAAAGCGAGCTCATCGATTGGTGTTTCGTACACCTTTCGCCGTTATTAAATCTTCCTCCCTTGCTGAACGATCGTCACGTAACACGGTATTTATATCCCGGTTTGATAGAACTGAAAATTGCGTGTTTCGGTGGAGGACCGACGCGAGGGTCGATTCCCGGAACGGAAGTATGGAAGATAAAGATAAAAGTACAGAAAATCGACGCGTGCAAGAGTTTGCAAAAGAGGTATAAAGATGTCCCATATATTCGTGGATATAAAACAATATCCGTCGCGTGTTAAACTTCCTGGAAGAGGATATTTCGAGGGACGTAAAATTTTCAAAGATTCATCACCGTGGGAACGAAAGGGATAATCCATGTCAGAAGCGCGATGTGCCTCGACTGTTCGGCCCGTAAAATGGAATTTTTATTTAAACCCGCAATTGTTGGCAAAAAATGTGTAAATGTTCGCGGAGAAGAAAATTTCAAGGGACGTAAAATTTCCAAAGGGAACGAAAGGGAAGATTTGTGGGTCCAAAGGGAACGAAAGGGAAGACCCATTCCAGAAGCGCAATGTGCCTCGACTGTTCGGCCCGTAAAATGGAATTTTTATTTAAGTCCGCAATTGTTGTGAAAAAAAATATGTAAATGTTCGCGGAGAAGAAAATTTCAAGGGACGTAAAATTTCCGAAAGGGAACGAAAGGGAAGACCCATACCAGAAGCGCGATTCGCCTCTACTGTTCGGCCCATAAAATGGAATTTTTATTTAAGCCCGCAATTGTTGGCAAAAAAAATATGTAAATGTTCGCGGAGAAGAAAATTTCAAGGGACGTAAAATTTCCGACAGGGAAGACCCATACCAGAAGCGCGATTCGCCTCTACTGTTCGGCCCGTAAAATGGAATTTTTATTTAAGCCCGCAATTGTTGTGAAAAAAAATATGTAAATGTTCGCGGAGAAGAAAATTTCAAGGGACGTAAAATTTCCAAAGGGAACGAAAGGGAAGACCCATACCAGAAGCGCGGTGTGCCTCGACTGTTCGGCCCGTAAAATGGAATTTTTATTTAAGCCCGCAATTGTTGTCAAAAAAAATATGTAAATGTTCGCGGAGAAGAAAAATTTCAAGGGACGTAAAATTTCCAAAGGGAACGAAAGGGAAGATTTGTGGGTCCAAAGGGAACGAAAGGGAAGACCCATTTCAGAAGCGCGATTCGCCTCTACTGTTCGGCCCGTAAAATGGAATTTTTATTTAAGCCCGCAATTGTTGTGAAAAAAAATATGTAAATGTTCGCGGAGAAGAAAATTTCAAGGGACGTAAAATTTCCAAAGGGAACGAAAGGGAAGACCCATACCAGAAGCGCGGTGTGCGTCGATTGGTCGACGCGTAGGAGGGGAACTTACCCTCGCAGAGAACCCCTCTTTCTCCGCAAACCAACCCCCATTCCGGGGGAGTTAAATAAGTTCGGCAAGAGTCGTGCCACGGCTCTTGGTCTAATAATGCAAATTCCCGTCGAACGAGAAGACGGTGGGATATTACGAAATAGCTTTATCCCTCCTCCGCCGAGTCCAACCTGATCTCCGCACCTGGAATTTACGAGCCGGAAAAATTGGGTAAACAATTGTTAAACAACGACACACGTCCCATCACCTACATTTAGGAGTTCCTCCATCCCAAACCACCCAATAACATACACATCCCGAAATTTTAACGGTGCAACGATGGTAGAGATTCGCCGATCGATCGGCTAGAAATATCGCATCGATATCATGGATCGCCTCGATCGGGATAAGCCGGATCGATCGATAGGCTATCGAGACATTCGAGGGGATCGGTGAGAAACCGTTGCGTAACTCGTTACTACCTCGAAATAAATCATTAATTGAAAAAAAAAAAAGAAAATCATCACCGAACTTTAAGAAATATAGTAATCCTTTAGACAGTCCCAAAGAAATATTTCGCCGACTCGGGGAATAATTATTTCAGTGAAATAAATTTTAATACATAGGACGGCAAAGTTTCTTCGATATTATGACGATTTATCCGAGTGAAATAATTATTCCTTTCGATTAATAAAATATGTCCTCGGTTCGATGAACGTCTCTTTTTCCTTCTGAGCGTAGAGTAGTTATCGGGCCATCCATCGGTGGGGATTATTATCTTGCATAATTTGCCGAATTTCAGGCCCCTCTTAGACGAGGCTCTATTCTCCTTGCCCTGGGCTAGATGTGTCGGGACCCGGCTCCCGAAGGAGCGCACTCGAGTTTTCCCGGGATCGCCTATCCCGGTCCTGCCAGGAGAGGGAATAAAGGCCGGGGAAACGAAACGGAATCCTGGCTCGAGATCCTCGCTGCGATTATCCGGGATAAGCCGAACGGGTTCCCGAAGGACTCCGAAATCGATCCTCCGGGGTGCCCTTTAACCCTTCGAGTATCCTGAACGCAGATGCGCGTCCTGCAAACGTTATCCTGGACCCTGACTCGGGCATGTCAAGTGTCATCTACGAGGACGCAAATATTGGGGTGCTCCACTAATTCCCGGATAATACATATCTTTCAACGAATTCAACCTGATTGCACGTTATCACTATTTCTCCCCCGATTTTGTGTATACCTATTTCGACCAAAAGGTTTTGATAAGCAGGAGGAAAATGATACCGCTAAATAAACTTAATTATTATACGAAACTTCAAAACATTAATTCAGAAAAAATTATTAAACCTTGAAAATAATTTCAAGTTCAAATTTTAAAAGGTGTCTTTTGACACCTTTGGTGGAAATAGTGTTAACAATTGAGATACCTGATAGAGTTAGCACTCAGATTTTCCAAACCTTTCCTCCCACCAGGATGGGGTAAGTGCAGGATGAAAATGGAGAAAAAAAAAAAGAGAAAGAACCAGAACGCGAATGTCTCGTTTTTTGAGAAGTTATCGGCGCGGATAGGGAATCCTCCACCCCGGATCGCTTATCTCCGGTTCAAAGGGTTAAGTGGCGCGTAACGCTCTGCTGCGATATCTTGTCAGTGTCGTCCCCCCCTCTCGGTGGAGGGGCCCGTCTCCATTTTCTAAAAAGGGCCCCCCCCGACAGGCCCGACCCCCAAACGAGGTCTCTTAAAATCGTCACCGCGATATGTCTTATTAGAGGCCCCGGACGAGTTTCCCTCTCTCTCCTTCCCAGGTCTCTCTCGGTCTCTCCAGGGCGAACGTGACGAGCCCAAGAGGGAGACCAGGGGAGATAGAAAGGTAACGAAAAGCAACCGATCGATTCCCGCTGGCGGGCTCGGCCATGCGAATCGGGTTGCGTGCGAAAATCGTGATTCGCGCCCTCCCAAAGGGGCCAAATTACTTTTCGAAAATGGCCGGCCGAGGAGAGCTCTCGAGATGCTCGCGAACACGGCCCGCTAGGAGATCATCTCCGAAGATAGTCGACCCTCTCCACGGCAACGTGTATCGGTCCTCTGTCCTCTGTCCTCCGTCTTCTTCCTAGCGGAACCGTCGCTCCTCTGTTCGGGCACAATGGCGGGCGCAACCGCCGTCTCGAGGGCCGCGCTCGCAGCGCGCGGAATTTCGGAAATCCGGCCCCATCGCTCCGGCGCGGCTCGATGGTCACTTTTATCCCCCATGGCCCAGAGCCTCTCGGAACCCTCCAGAAGCCACGACCATTATTTTTTGGAAATATCGTCCCATCCAGGATATTTTCATTTTTTTACCTAATTTCAATTCAAGCGCTCCTCGTTCCCTCGCGGCGGGTGGAAGGTCGAGCTCTCGCGACGCCTCGAATAATTACTTGGATAAATGAATATCAGGAATTCACGGACGGAGTTTACCTCTTAAAATTGACAATCCTTTCCGACGTTGATTAATCGCTTATCCGCGGGAGAATACGTTAAGATTCCAAATCGAGGAGGCAAAGCGTGGATTCATGTCGGGCCGTTGGATGAAAATAACCTAAATTCCGTTTAAGGACTGACAGATAGGCGATACTGCGATAAACCGTGGAACAATCAACCCGGGTATCGTAAATGTCTGTAGATAACCACGGAGGCGTACTTACGTCACTTTGGGTAGGAATGAACGTAAAGTGCATAAAGGAAAGCATAAAGGAAAACGAGGATCTGGTCCGTCTTGGGTCCCGCGGATTTCCGTTGGGCCGGTCGAGTTTTCCGTTGTGCCGGCCGCGGGCCAATGGGGTGCGAGGAGGGTCGGTGCGCGCGAAAACACCCGGTAGATTCTGCAAGCGAGGTTAGGCCCCGCGCTCGTGGTCGGGGCGCGGACCAATGGGACGCATAGGCGGGAGTCCGGGGGGCCCACGTGGTGGCCGCTCGGCCAATGGCGGCGGGCCGGTCGGGATTCGAGCGCGTCGTCGGGTGCCGGGTAAAAAAACGAGTTTGCAACTCGCGCCGGCCGGCTCGGCCAGAAGCGCAGCGAGGAGAGTCAGGGCACTGCGGTCTCTTGCGGTTCTTGGTTGGCTCCCTGGCGCGTCCTGCGAGAGTCGGGCTAGAAGAAGAGGAAGAGGAAGAAGAGGAAGAAGAGGAAGAGTCCTCGTCGAGGGAGCGCGAGAGAGACCGTTCGAGCCACGTGACCGCTCCTAGCAGCCGACTTTCCCCTGGATCCGGCGTCCTCGACTCGGCCGGCCCAGGAGACGACCCGGAGCGAGCGAGTCGACGCGCGGGGGGCGAGAGGGGGCGCCGCGAAGGAGCCCGGACAAGGAGAGCGAGAGAGAGAGGGAGAGAGGGAGAGGGCGAGTCGCGAGCGCGGTGCGGTCGGCTTCGGCGAGACAGTCGAGAGCCGCTAACCAAGAGGCGAGGAGATCGCGAGACGCGCCCGGGCCCGGGACTTGGAGCGACCCCGAGAGGATACGACGGCGGGTCCCTCCGCGGCGGGCAGGAAGACAGGAGGAACCACCCGGTCCCCCGAGCCGCCACCATAGCGCCCAAGGCCGCCGCCAATCTACCCGCCACCATGTCCAAGCTCTACGTCGGCAACCTGCCGTCGGACTGCAACGAGGCCGCCCTGAGGCAGCTCTTCCAGGAGCACAGCCTCGCCTGCACCAACGTCCTCGTGAAGCGCGGCGGGTACGCCTTCGTCGACTGCGCCGACCAGTCCACGGCGGACCGGGCCATCGACAAGCTGAACGGTAAGACCCGCCGACTATTTTCCGCTGCTTTCCCTCCGCTTACGACTGCTTACGACCGCTAACGCTTGGCTACGAGCAACCTCGCCCTTGGTCTCGGTCCCCCGGGTCGAGACAGGGTCTCGCTCGCCCTCGCGAGACCTGGACCGAGGTCGCTCGTCGCCGCTAACGCTTCTGCTTGCAGCTTTCAGGTCCCCGGATGTGCCCGAGCACGCCCCACGCATGCTCCACGGATGCCCCACGTGCTGCCGCGGGTTGCGCGGGAAACCGACTCCGATCTCGAAGACGACGTCGTCTTCGAGCTCGGCAGGGCTCCTCGAGCCCGAGGGGCGGCCATGCTTTCGCTTGCGATCTTCGATTGTCCTTCGCTCGCGATCGTGCTTTTCCTCCCGGAAGATGAAACCCATTCCAGCGCCATGTACGATCGAGGGGCTTTGCCCCGGTTAGCCTGTTACTTCTTCTTCTAAAAAACGCGTCTTCGTGGCGAGTACACTCGTCGAAAACGGCCAACCGGTTAAACGGGGTCTAAATCTCTAAAAATGGAGACGATGCGAGGAAATACCGCAAACCACTGCGTTCCATTTATTCCAGTGGGACAAAGATTATTCCCTGAATTTACTAAATATTTCCTTGACCCTGTTCAAAGAAATATCTCCTCCGTCAAATGACAGTTTCTTTCTCAGGGTGTCCTTTGTCAAGAGATTCGGGATCCCTCTGTCTAATTTTCTTTTTTTTCGGACACTTTAACGGGTGCACATGCTGTAGCGATGTCATCTCCGTTTCTGCGCCCTATGATAAGGACGATAGGGTGGAGGGACGCAAATTGGAGCTAGGGAACCGGGGGATTAAGGGCGCTCGTTAAGGAGAGGTCGAATTCGGAGTTTAAGGCCGGACGTACCGAGACTCGGGTACGTATTTAAAAGGGTTTAGCTTAACCGATGATTCCTTTGATAACGGTATGATTAGACATTCTCCATCGATTTTAGAGATTCTAGGATTCCGAGCGATAGGATCGCAATCGATATTTCACTTGGCGATAGAGACTAGATTAAACTAAAATGAACTAAATGAACGATATCGTTTCGAGAAAAAAAATCAAGTACACTCGTAACGTGTTCAATTACCCTTCCCCTCCCCTGACGCATGAGCGATCCTGCCAGCTATTTACATATTATGTACTTGTAACCATAATTTTTTATCCGTAATATTTATTTTATTTTATAGTTTGTAATATTTATTCAGAATATTTCTTCTCGAAATCGTTAAGAATTCCAGTTTCCGGTCTCAGGATTTAATTTATCGGCCCGATTAGTCGCCTCGAGGACGAATTTGTTACGCAATCGGTGGAGCCGCTGTCGGTTTGACTTTTCCCGAGTTCTTCAATTGTCCGATGTCACATTTGACGTTATTTGCCGAAACATGTCCGGCGATTCAACGACGAGGAGATATTCGGAACTGAGAGCCACTGCGCGACCTCGAAAACTCTTCCACGAGGAGAGAACCGTCTCTCTCTCTCTCCTCCCCTTGGCCCCTCGTATCTCGGTCACTCTCCTCGAAAAAGCTCCGTCGCCAGTAGCCCCTCGAGATTAGGCGAATAAATAAGCTCGTTAGGTCTTCTAGACCCGACTTAGTCTCCCCAGAATCCGAGAACGAAGCAAATCGATGCACATTCTAAACATTACCCATTTCCTCGCGACACATACCGGTACGTTGATTCGACTTCGACATCTCTAAACGAGGTATATTCCATGTTAAATTTAGTATTTTCCCATTTCACATTTCGGGAATTTCCGATTTACGAGGACTTGACTGATTTTATTTCGGTGGTATTTATTATTGTATTATTTTCTTGTCGATTAACATCGCGGAGGTATGATTAATCCGCCTTAGGAGGGACCTGCGCGGCGGGGGTGCGCGTGGAAAACCCGTCCACGTGGTGAGAAAGGCGCGCATGCCGGCCGGCGTATCGACCAAGATGGCGGCGCGGCCGGTCCACGGCGCCGCAAGGTCACTCGCGCTCGGCCCGATAAGAGGCCCCCGATAACGGCGCCGCGCTGCCCTTCCGCGAATCGCCGGCCGAGCGCGCAGTCGCCGCCACCGGTCAATTGCGTCTCCGTGACCCTAACTAGTCTAGGTATTAGGTTCGAAACGAAATTCAGGATTTTATAGAGTCGTCCTATACGAGGTGGATTTTATTACGTTCTCCTATACGAACTTGCGGATTTCATCAGATTGCTCCACATGAAATTCTGGACTCTACTAGTTTCGCCGTAAAACTGAGGATTTTCTAAAGTTGCCCGATGCAATTATACGGTTTTTATTAAGTCCTTTGGGACGAAACTGGATTTTCTAAAGTTGCCCGATACAATTATACGGTTTTTATTAAGTCCTTTGGGACGAAACTGGATTTTCCTAGGTTCGATACAAAATCCGGAATTTTTTTCGGTCGTTCGGTACAAGCAGATTTACCTTACCGCCTCTATCGCTGAAACCCTTACCTTCGCGTAGAATAATCCGATATTTATTATATAGAGAGTCCCTCGGTGATGGATCTGTCCACGGATTCGCTTAATGCCCGTCTTACCTGAAGTCCAGGTGTTTACGTATCTTCGAGGTGCGCGGTTCCGAATCGTCTTGTCTCCCGTTGACCTAGGTCGGTCATGGTCGCCCGGCGTCGGGCCGACATCGGCACGCGTCGGAACGTGTCGGGAACTCATCCGATGAGACGCTAATCGGTTCGTCACCCCCGCGAGGCAGGGCCGCCGGTCGGGCTGCATCGAGCCATAAATTCCCGGCGACTCTGCACCGCGGCGACTTGGCGACGCCGCATCGCGACACTTTGTCAGCGACACTCGATCGTAATCGCGGCTGAATGAAGCTGCCCGTAACTTTATAGGTTGGCGGTTGGGTTGCGCGAGCGAGAGGCGGCTCGTCGGCTCTCAGGCGCGGGTGAGAGATGGCGCGGCGGTCACGTGGCCGCCGGCCGTCCGACGACACACGAGAGTGGGAACTTCACTCGTCCTGCGTTATGTAACCGAAGATCGGCGAATAATAAAACTCGACGTGTCGATTCTCTCCGACTCCTTCCTGCTTAGGATCCCACCCCGGTTCCGCTATTGCCGCCGGTTTAGTCGCAGCTGTGCTTTGAACTTGCGAGGTGAGGCACGTCCGCCCTCCCAGCCTTCTGGGTGGACATGCCGCGCCGATTTCTTCCGCGATATGTAATTCCGCCCCGATTAAGGATTTCCCACGTTATCGTTCGAATATTCGGATCGATACTTTAAAGAAATAATTCAGGGTACGTTATGATTTTCCTACGGCCCTGGCGAGTATATAACGGTAGCGAATTTCGATACGCGCCCGCCTTCGATATTACCCCGCGAGTTCCGTCATCCATCTCGACCGTTATTTAGACCGCGACGAAACTCGATAGCCTTCAAGGAAAACGTTCCTTTGCTCGGCGATACTCGACAACTACCGCCTCGTTGTTTATTGCGTCGACGAGACAGGTCCTCCTTACAATGGCCGCATTACCGCCGGCCGTTCCATCCCACTAAAAATAACGCACGGCATATAACATAAACGCCGTCCAATATAGATCCGCCATCCGCCCCTTCGCTGTCCTTTCCTCGGCGCCTCCGATTCCCGATAACTCCAATTCCAAGATGGCCGCCGCGTCACGTGACGCCGATCAACCGAAACCGGCGCGACTTAAGGTGATGTGAAAGTGGCGTCGAAGAGGTTTTCTTTATACAAATTTTCTCCCAACTCGATTTACCGAATAATTTGAAAATTTACAACGTGAATAGGGAGATTATAAGGAAGGTCCTGAAGCTCGTGAAATGTCAATTCTTTTCAAATTTGTTTATAGGTATTTGAAAAATAGTTTATAAAAAATGAAACTTCGCGAGTTTCAGGACCTATCTTAGGGTCTCCATATTCACGTTTTAAAGTATGAAACGATTTGAAGGACCCAGTTCGGAGAAAAGTTTTATGAACGATTGAGCTTTCGGATGCGACTTTCCCATCCCCTTAAGGCGACACGAAAGCGGCGTCAAAGAGGTTTACTGAGCGTCCGGAGTCGTTTAAAATTCTAAAACATGAATATAAAGGCTGCGAGGAAGTTCCTGTAAATTTCAAATTTTTTTACAATTTGTCCATAGACACTTAAAAATATTTCCACAAAAGATGAAATCTCTACAGGGCCTCCTTACAGCCTGCACATTCACGTTGTAAAATTTGATACAATTCGGTACCCCCGGTTCGGGGAAAAGTATCGGAGCCATAATTGACCCCTTTTCACATCCCCTTAGTACTCGCGAGTCCGCGTTATATCAAGGTTCCTCCCGACTGGAATATTGGAATTATAGAGGGCCCAACCGCCGGGAGTTATCCGCCAATCCAGATGGCATCTCGCCTGGCTCGGACGGAAACGCGACGAGTCCTCGGAGGTCCAACGTACCCGCTCTCGTGGGCCGATCTCCTTTTCGGTGCACACACGCGTGCCCGGGCGTGCACACACGCGCACGCGCTGTCAGGCCCGGCCCGACGCGGAGGAAGACTGAGAAATCCGCGGATACAATGCCGCTCGCTCGAGGCCAGAACTAGTTTGGTAGGTTAGGTTTTAGACCAAGTCGCCGTGTCTAGGTTAGGTTAGGCTGCATACGCTAGTACTGAGTCACGGCAGCCGGCGGTCCTCGGTCCCCGTTTCGCGTTCTCCGTTTCTTCCGTTCGTCGCCTCCGCGTCGGCGCGTGGGGCGGGGGGCGCTAATGCGCCGGCGCGCGTGCTTTAGATGGTGGGCGCGCATGCGCGCGCCCGCGTTTCGCGGAACCGGGGACGGCGGGAAGAAAAGGACTTCGGGAGCGAGACCCGAAAGTCCGGCGACAGGAAACTGCCGCATTCTTCCCGTCTAGAGCGAAGCGCTCGGAAAGCGCGCCAGATTTGAACGTTCGAACGGGGAAAACGAATCGCGACGGTTAAGCCGGAAGTTAACGCGTAGAAA